TTATATATACTATATATACTATTACTATTATATATACTATATATACTATTACTATTATATATATATAATATATATACTATTACTATTATTATATACTATATATACTATTACTATTATATATACTATATATACTATTACTATTATATTATATACTATATATATACTTTCTATTATTATATTATTATATTTTACTGTATAGTACCATGTATATCACTTTATCCACTTTCCCTTCATTTCCGAGATCCGATCACGCCATAAACCCACGAATATCCGCAGAGTTTAAAACTTCAAAAGTCCTTGTAACTTGCGACTGATACGAACGCGTGTTTCCAGGCTGCCGGAGACCCAGCTGGCCGAGCGACTCCACGGCGAGCGTTACTACGCGGACACAAGGATACCATTGTCGCCGACCTCGATCCACCCGCCGCCGGGCCACCACGGTGGCAACACCGGCGTCAGAGTGGACCTCGGCAATCACATGATCGGCACCGACAGCCTGCACACGATCCTCCGCCCGGAGAACCCGCGGAGCCTGAACACGAAGAGCTATTACTACGGCTGACAGGAGGAAGGGGTTGTCCTGCGCGAGGGACGACCCTCGTCCTTGAGCCCGGTACCGGAAGTGAGCACGCGGAAGTACTGCTTCTAATCGGGACGCGCCGACAAAGCTTCTCCGAAGGACAGCCGACGCGCGGGGCCATTGTCAGCCGCGTTCGAGCCACGATCCATCCATGGGTCCGTCGTCGATCAGTCGTCGTTGTCCCGTCGCGGATTATCGCGCCCCTCCGCCGCCCGGAAACGGGCCGCGCGACGGCGACGGTTTTTTTATACTTGGCCCAAGGGAGAAGGAGGAGGAGGAGGAGGACTTTGATTTCCAATCTCGCGGAATTAACGCTTCGCCGGCAGGAAGCGACGAATCGATCGACCGGAACCGGAATTACGCCGGAGCGACGGGACCGAGAGCTCGTCGGAGGACGTGTCGGAGAATCGTCGGAGGACGTCGGCGGACGAAACGTGGAACCACGGGACCCGTAGTCCTGGCCGGAAGCGAAGAATCACGACGACGATGGCTGTACATATAGGGTTCCGGCGCCGAGAATCCGCTTCGATCGGCGTCGCGGATTGGGCCGCGCGGATGAGAACAGGGTCGGGCGGACACCGTCGGCGGATTCTCCGGCGCGCGGCGGAGCACGCTCAGAATAATTCTTATTGTTGTTGAGGATGCTGTTGTTATTCAGAGATACTGTTTTTAATCGAGAGACGTAGTTGTATAGCGCTGGATTATGGGTCAGAGGATATAAGCACACGTTGATCGTCGGCGAACGGTTAAAGATTGTTGATGCGGAGGGCCCGAGCGCGTCCCGCGTCCGGCACCGGAAGCGAGCAACCAGAGGCGTCGTCGAACTCGACGGAATTCGATCCAGGTCCCCAGATGCGCCAGATGACGTTCCAAGCGAACCTCGAACAACGGAGAAAGAGAGAAAGAGAGAGAGAGAGAGAGCTCGAAGAGATTGTTACTTTCGATCGGCGTTGCCCGATGATATTCGGTCCTCGGCTCGGCTTCCGGGGAACGGTTCTTTTGTATTTCAAGACGGCGGCGACGATGACTCGCGCGCAAGCGTTAGCGAGACACTTTTGTAACCGTAGCTTTGTCGGATTAGTTCGGAGTCGCGATTTTTCGTAGGTCGGGTGCAAATCGCTTCGTGCGCGCGCGCGCGCGACGACAAGGCTCGGCCTCGGGTCAGAAATTAACACTGCCTGTTTTACGGTGAGAACAATATTAACGAGATAGGGACACACACCTGCCCCGAGAAAGGTGTGCGCGCGTCGATGTCCCGCTATAAACGATACAATAATTCATCGCGCGCACAATTTCGGAAAATTTCAAACTCGAACCGACGCGTTTACGTTCTTTCTTGTCTCGAGGGGTAGATACATATCCGCGCGAACTTGTGCGCCGAACACGAATAATCGGGGCGCGTTTCCTGTTCGATCGTGAATTATGGTCTCGAGGAGTACAGTGCTGCCTAAACTGCGAGCAACAACGGGTTTCTGGCGACGGACTTTTATTCTCGGTTTCTATCGGGTTTCTCTCGTTTCTTCGTCGGCGTTGCGGTACCTTTGTACGGGGCGAACGTTTCGTAAGTGAACAAGGCAAAGACGAACGTTCGTTTCGTTTGTAAGATTGATCGATTAAGACGTGGGCGAGGATACTTTTTAAACGTACTTTCAACGCTGAGTTTTTTCATCGCAAATCCATCAAATCTGTATCGACGAGTTACGGTGAATAGTTCGCGATTTTGCTTCAGCTTGCATGCAGAAATGGATAATTTGGGAAGAGGAGATACGATTATTAATTATATTATATATTAATATTATTAATTAATTATTATTATTAATTATATAATACATAATATCATTATTATTATACTATATATTATTAATTATATAATATATAATATCATTACTATTATATATTATATATTATTAATTATATAATACATAGCATCATTATTATTAATTATATAATTAAATATTATAATTAACTTTTAATTAATTAGTATTAATTATATTATATAATACAATTATATAATATATAATATAATTAATTATTATGCTATATATATTATTCATTATATAATTATAATCGGCAACTATAATAACGAGCCGCAAGGCTCGAATAATCGCGTCTCCTCTTCCAAAATTACCCACTTTTGTTCGCAGGCCGAAGAAAAATCGGGTAGAATTTACCGTGATCGCAAACTGCAAGGTTCGCAAACGACAGAAACTTCTTCTCGACCAAGAAATCCGAGGCAGGATTTTTCAGTAGTACTTTCGCATTTGGATCGCATTTACCGAGGTTATAATTTTATACAAGGACGTTGACCGAGCGAAAAGCGATATATACGTATATATATATATATTAATTAACTCGCTATAATATATAGAATTGTATTCGATAAAGAATAACCCATTGCGTTGGGCAACGTAAATAATGTTCTCGACGTCTCACGATCTTCCGCGGACATTGATTTCGGCAGCTTTCGAATCATTTACCTCCGAGAACGTCGTCGGTAATTCACGAGTGATCTATGAACGTGGTGTGATCAACCAACTTTACGCTTTGCTCATGTTTTTCATCGGCACCGTTCGATCTGCTCAGAACAATTAATCAACGGTATCGCGCGACTGTCTTTCGATTGGGGAACGACGGGGCGAGGGGGACGGGGGACGGGGACGGGGGACGGCGTTGATCCATGGATCGAAGGTGCGCACGACACACGAACGAGAAACGACACGCTCGAACGACACGAATCGACGGTTGATCGATCTCCCTAGATTAATCTCAACCCCTTACGACTGTCCACGTAAGAAGAAAGTGTACCAAAAAAGAGAAACAAGAAAATACGAACTGAGAAGAGAGAGAGAGAGAGAGAGAGAGAGAGAGAGAGAGAAAGTGGGAAAATCGTTCGATCAAACCCCGAAGATCGGAGTGTACAATGATCGATCTGAGGCTCCGTGGAGACGGTAAATCGGTCGATCTCAACGAAGTTTTACAGCGGTTTTGTATCGCGTGCACACGCAAGAAAACCAGAAACGCACCGCAGAAACGACTTTTATAGAGAAACGATCTGTATGTATATCACGCTGTAAATAGGAACAATGGTCATTTACTGTAACGTTTAAGGAGAACGATGCAGAGCGAATGGGAGAGCGAGAAAGAGTGAGAGCGAGCGAGAGAGAGAGAGAGAGAAAGATTGAGAGATAGAGAGCGAGAGAGAGAGAGTGAGAGAGAGAAAGAGAGGGAGAGAGAGAGAGCGTGCGTATCTCTTAATCGAGAGTGTAACACAATCGAAGAATACGTCTCGTAGACGTGAGATACCGATACTGCCATTGAATCGACTTCACGATCCTGTGCGATCGAGGATCTCCGTCACCCTTGTAATCGATCGTGATCGTTAACGGGAAAGGATCTGCGAAGCTAGGAAATTTATAGGGTCGCTGTTTGAATCGTTAATTTCACGCTATATACAGGTTGTCCCAAAATTATTGTACAAACGGAAATGAGGGGTTCCTGAGGTGATTTGAAGTAACTTTTTCCTTTACAAAAATGTTCTCCGAGGCATCGTTATCGAGTTATTAACGAAAAACAGTGACCAATGAGAGGCGAGATTAAGTGGCGCGAGGCGGCCGAGCCGCTCATTGGCGCGCCCAGCGCCAGCCAAGCTCGCGTCTCATTGGTCTCACTGGCTCGGTCGCCACGCGCCAGCCGAGCTCGCTTCTCATTGGTCAGCGTTTCTCCTGAATAACTCGTTAACGGTGCCTCGGAGAAAATTTTTGTAAAGGAAAAAGTTGCTTCAAATGACCTCAGGAACCCCTCATTTCTAGCTTGTACAATAATCTTGGGACGCTCTGTAGTTTCTCTATCTTTTTAACTGGCAACTTAATTTTAATTGGAAAGTCTTGATTCATGATTAATTGGAAGCTGAGAAATTGTTTCGATTTCGTCGTCTTTTTCCCGAGCTTAATTTTACTTGTCATTTAATTTCCTGAAATTCGAACGAGTCTAATTAATTGAGGTTTTACTGATAAAAAAGAATAATAACAGAACTCGATGTTAGCACTTGTAGTTATATTAACGATGTTAAATTGAATATTCTGGTTGATTACTGAATACCAAAATATTATTGAGCATTATTTAATATTCGTCAATATTTCGGAATATTACCGAATATCGTCGAACGTAAATCGTAGCGATGATAGCGACGAATCGTACAAAGACAATTGATTGCGTTCATTCGGCGGAAATACTCGTTCGCCTTCGTTACCATTGGGTTGTTGATTAACGTCCCCGATGTGGTTGTAACGCGAGACAATGTATCGATCACGATCATTAACCTGTAAACAATAATGTCCAGTCTGATCGTTCGTGTGTTAATTTTAAGGTAGATGTACATGGAATCGATTCCGCGTACGTTTCGATATTAACTCCGATTCCGAGAATCACTTAATAATTAATGTTTTTTCTGTTTACGTTGCGCGGGGAAATAACGAGATGTTCTTTCGTAACAATCTCGCCGTCGCGCGCTGTTCCGACCGATGCGCCCGTTAAACGAATCGTTGCACTCGATTATGCTATCCGTAAGCATCGATCGTTCTTCGCGTATTCGAATTGATATTTGTTTTCTCTAATTATAAATATGATCTTCGATTGCAAAATTAATGCACGAAATGTCGAGGCGATTTTCCTGAACGACGCGCGACGGTTAAACGATGTCTCGACGATCATGTGCGAGAACGAAAATGTTTAATTGCCATATGTCAATGCGATCATTGACGTTTATAATTTAATTAATAATAAATAACGTTTGTAATTTAATTTCGAATAATTTTCGAAATAATTTTCTTGTCGGATCTTATTCGAATAGATTTAATAAAAAAAAAAGAAAGAAAGGAACAACGTAGCGTTTAACGAACGTTTCTAGTGCCATCGGTTCTCGCGCATGATCGCGCACGTTTTTTCTTCTTTTTTTTTCCTTTTTGATATTAATCTCATAAAAGCGTTAATAGTTTGTAACGTTAAAGCAACCGATTTGTACATTACTTATTATTAGCTGTAATTTTGCACATTCATTGCAACACTATCGTAGATAACGAAGGATTAATGTATTTACAATTTAAGGGCTTGTTTATTTAATATTTCGACGATTGAGTGACTCACGGGAACATCGCGAGAGCACACACATTCGCTTCATTAATCGATCAAACGATTGTTTCACCGAAAGCATTGACGATTGTTTTCAATGGATGAAAAGAAAACGTTACGTATCAGATAAAACGAAGAAAAAAAAGAAAAAGTGAAAAAGAGTTGTAATACCGTGAAATCTATACGAATAATATTAAAGGAAGAAACGTAAGGGGGGGTAAATTAAAGTGATGTAATGTATAATTGAAGTTTTTATATTTGTTACTGCACCTCTCTCAAACAATGGAAACATGGAGATCTAATGTTCGAACGCATACAAATTCACGTTTATTATTATGTGCTATGTTTTAACGTTTAATAAAAAAAAGTGGCATGTAATTTAATTCAACGAGTTTTCCGTGATTCACCTTACATCAAGCTCTTTCTCTCTCTGTTTTTATTAAATACGTTCGCGGTTACGATTTATAATTATTTATTTATAATTATTTGTACGCTATACTATTTTCGTATAGAAAATACTAATCTCTTGACAGACTCGATTGAACTGAACTCATTTAAATAACTTCCGACTAAACCATTGAAAAATTACTAATTCTTGCCATATTTAAACATTTTCTTTGCGAGCTAGTTCAATTTGAAATTCTCTTTACGAGATACCAGTCTGTAATACACGCTTTCAATGGACGATTAAATCGGATTCTGCTTAATCTTCGTTGAAATCGTCACATTTTTCTATCAATTTTATTTCATTCTTTTATTTCATTATATTATCATTTATATTATTTTATTATATTATATATTATCATTTCATTTCATTTTGTTTCATTTCTCGCACGCGACTTCGCTGATTAAAAATCATTTCAATCCAAGGTTTCGGCAAATCGAAAAAATGACGTCATTGATGTAACACCAAAGCCGTTATCGCGATCATTCAATTACGAACGTCTGAAAAAGATCTAAAATGGCGGATAGCATTTTATACACACTTACGGTGCTTAGAACTATTTCAAATATAATTTATAAACTTTCGATGAACTTCGTTCGATTTAATAAACTTTTAACGTCTGTCGTTTAATCAGCAACCTAATAAAACTGAACAGCGCCACTTTTAGAAAAAAAAAAAAGAAAAGCCTACCATCTGCACGATCGTCCGCAATCTGATAATGAAGCGCGAAGCGACGCCGTGAAAAGGAAAAGGCAATGCTCGAGAGCGTGCTCGATGTCTCCGTGAGTCAGTCAATTATTTCGACGTCTTCGAGAAGTGTGAAGGAGAGGCCGTTGCATTCCACTGATTAGTTCCCGTGCCGGAATAATCCGGCGTGGCCGTGTTTTTAATTGGTCCGACTTAATTAAGCCACTCGTGCGGGATTGTTGCGAGTCGCGCGCGGGTCTCCTGGAAAACTCTAATTGCCGGAACAACGCTGGGCTCTCAATTCTTTCTTTCTTGCTCGTCTACCTTCCCGACGGCGGTTCTCTCCGTCGCGTCGTCCCCTTTTGTCTCTCATTTTCCCCCTCCGAAGAAGGTCAGACGTAAACTGACAGCAATGCCGTTTTATTCGATCCGAATGTTTCATCGTCGAACCATGTGGCTTCGACAATCTCATTCTGAAATATTCTGACCAACCAGATTACGGATTTTCATGCGAA